TACAATTTACTCCATGATAACTTGAACTAAGCATGTGAGAAGGTTTACTGTTCCTTGCTTATCTTTGTACATGTTCATAACAATATTTTTGAGTTATTCTGTGTTAATGCTAAAATTTTATAATCCAAATGAAAGGAGAAAAACATTTTTGTGTGATGTTCTTTGGCTATACGTTATTCTCTTGTCATTTTGTGACAAAAAAAGGGGAGTAGATATTTTGATAAGATGCATCTAAAACGTTTATTTTGATAAGATGTATTTAAAAAGTTTATTTTGATAAGATGTATCTAAAACGTTTGATTCTGATTATATGATATATCTTCAATTTGTGCTAGATTAAGTTTTGATATTTTAGTAGTATCAATGTTTTGTTTTGGTATGTTGAATTGCATTGATATTACATCTTAAAGCATATGATATGAAACTAAAAAGTTGCATTATGAGTTATTAACTGCTTAAATCACTTTTACACTGTGAACTGTTTGAACTATTTTTACACTTATACTGTTTCACATATATTTTACACTGGGTATTTGAGTTGTCTGTCTATTTCTGGAAATAGGTATTGAAAAATAAAATACAGAATTCGTTTAAGACAGTTGTTGGTTGTGTCTGTTGATTTGAGTATGTAATTTTAATTTATTACTGCCTTGATTAGATTGTAGTTTGGTCATAGAATGCCAAAGGGGGAGCTTTTTAGGTATTTAATGTAATTGGCGAATCTGTGAACAAAAAGGAATAAAGTTGATATGTTGTAAAAAGTCAAGGAGTAGTGTGCAATTGCGGTTGGGTCGACTATTAATTAGAGATTCAATAATGGACTCGCAATGAAGCCTCTGAATATTATTTCGACCAGACAAATCATCATAGCCCCGGGTTCACTTGGTATCAAAATTCTCGACTGTTATCACTATATTTAAAACTTTGATGTAAGAACGAGATTTGGAGTTGTAGTTTAGAAGAGTAATTGGAGAATTATGTTGTGTTTGAAGACCAATAGATTAGATTCTTTTAGTGATCGATACTCAACTAAGACTATGTTGGCATTGCCAACCTCTTCAATTTATGATTAGCATATTCTTTCCACGAAGCTGACTTTTGTGTAGAGCTCCAAGTGAAGAACTCTATGAACAAGTTCACAAGGTACTTAAACTAGAATCGATGACCAAGTAGATCAAACTTTAACCAAGGGATGACAGAAGGCTTTATGACTAAAAATACTAGGATTAATTGTTGGTTTTTAATTTTTTTTTTCATTTGTAATCTACCATATACACAAGTGATTGTTTGGAGTTCTTTAGCTTATTAAACAATCTGTAGATGAAGGTTGAATGTTTTTGGAAGAATGTACGAAACTTTCATGATGATTTGAGTTTCATTAAATTTGTAAGTTTGTACGTAATGCTAATTAATTTATTTCTTTTTAGTTTAACTTTTTAATATTGTCGAGTGCTAATCAACGTGTCTGACCACACATACTAGTTTGCATTCTTATATCACTTATGTACATCTTTAGCATTTCTTTTTCAAATAGTAGGTGATTTTTTCCCCTTTAATCAATAGGAGATGGTTGGATTTTTTTTACTCTACTTGCTTTTTTAGATTGTTTATTAGCATCTTTTGTAGTAGTACAAGGAGCTATCAGAAAGGTATATAGCTTTCAACTAAAATTACGGTGGCCAAAAACATGAAAGCACACGTGCCAGAAAATAATCCACTAGAAAAAATTAAACTTATAGAATTGGTCCAGAAATAACTAAACCTCAGTAGAATCTGACCCTCAATCCGTAAATACCAAAGAACTCCTCGGTTGTACACTCCGACACCAGCACTAGAACCTATGGACTTCACGACTTCACTTTTCCTCATGTATCACAAGTAATGAACTCGTTCTTCACAAATAGAAACTTCAATCACCTCTTGGATATTCTAAACTCTGATAAATATTTGGTAGAGGTTTATTTGGTGCTTTGATCTTGTGGTTGTGGAAAGAGAAATTTGGAATGAGTAATTGATCTTCAGCAATGTGTTCTCTTTAATGAATAAAGGCTCAACACACATAGTGGATGAATTTTCATTTGGTCTATATAGTATTACAGAGTTATGGCTTGTTTGGGATTGTAAAAAGGCTGAAAAGCAGGAACTAGGGTTTCACCCGATAAATAGGGCACTTGAGCGAACATCGAGCATTCAGTCTCTACAAGTTCATAGTTTTCCTTATAGAGGTAGGCGAAGATCATAGTTTTGGACAACCGCATTAATCTTTGCTTTCTTTAATCGTCGTGACCTTTGATCTAAATCTTAGAATGTTTCTAAAAATTTTGGTCTCTGAAATTCGTTCGCCTAGGTTGAAACTACAATTCACTATATCATTCAAGTTCGCATAGAAGTCATCAAATGACTCATTATCTTTAATTCTAATTTCCTTAAACCTAGTGGTCAACATCTATAGTTTAGAGTTTTTTACAATTTTAGTTCCCTCATAGATGGTTTCTAAAATGTCACAAATTTCCTTAGCGGTCTCATACATAGACACACATTTAAACTCTTCAGATGATACAACCATAAAATGGAATGTAATCCCTTACTATTCCAGTTACACTCAGCAAATTCATCGTTAGTCCAAGTGAAAACCTTTGCAGTAGGAGTAACTATACTATCAATAGATGTAGGTGGGGCTATCAAACCCTTTTCGACACTCATCCAAACTATCTTATCCATAGATTTTGAAAAGGCTCTCATTCTACCTTCGAGTAAGCATAATTGCTTCCGTCAAAGTATGTAGGAATAGATAATGACTAACTTATCTAGATAAAACTGGATCAATAATCGAAATAAGAATCTGATACCAATTAAAATTATCGAGTTTCTACCAATAACACTCGAGGGGGTGAATACATGTAATATGTGAAATTAAAATTAACAACCAATAACATAAATCGAGTCTCAAATTATTGTATCTATATGAATTAAAATCAATTAAACTCTAGCAATCAATCAAGTATAAATTAAAAAGTAGAAAAGTAATCAACACCGAGAACTTTTTACTAAGGAAAAACCCTTGAAGAACTCTTCAAGAGAAAAAAATATTGAGGCACATGTTCTAGTAAATAAACCACTAGAAAAGATTAAACTTACAGAATTGGTCCAAATACAACTAGCCCTTAGTAGACTCTAACCCCCCCTCCAAAAAAAATCTGTAATCACCAAAGAACTACTTGGTTGTGAGCTCTAGAATGTCTGGACTTCTTTTCTTCTCGTGGATCACCAAGAATGAACTCTTTCTTTACAAATTGGAACTCTAGTCACCTCTCGAGATCTTATTAACTCTAAAAGATATTTGGTATAAGTTTATTCGGTGTTTTGATTGTGTAATTGAGGCAACATAAATTTGGAATGAGTAATTGATCTTCAACAATGTGATCTCTTTAATGAATAAAAGCACATAGATGATTGATTTTCATTGGGTATATATATTGTATTAGAGAGTTATGGATTGTTCGAGATTGCTGAAAATCATGAACTATGATTTCACCCGGTAAATAGGGTTCTCGAGCAGTCCGTCTCTGTAAAAATCGCTCAAGTGTTCACTTGACATTTTTCGAGCGGTTTTGTTTTGCACTTGATCTTGTTGAGCCGACACTAAGACTTTCCAAGGACACTCCAAACCCCCATCAACTTAACCCTAAATACAACTCGATAAAATGACATTTTGGACAAGGAACTTTACCAATATGCTTTAGATCTAACAAAAATGGGTATAGAGAAACATAATGATTTTGATATGGGATTAAAATATATTCAGCAAAATATAGACTAGTTATAATCATAAATTATAATTTACAAATAGCATCCTTTTTTTTAATGCCAATAATGGAAAAAGTAAGTTCGTTAATTTCTTATCGTTCCAGTAAATTTCTAATTTTTTGAATATTGATAAAAGAGAATATATCAAAAAATATCTAAGAAAACGTGCATTGTTATAGCGTTACTGGTAAACTTATACACTCATGATTAAGAATAGTAGTAAAATATGCCAAAATTAGTGAGTGGAAGTCAACTAGAAGAGAATTGGCCCTTTTTTTTTGTGCCACAAAAAATTTCTAAAGAACAGATTTTGTTAGAATGAACCCAAACTCGATACATATCAAATTGTAACGAAAATCTTTATATCTAATGTAATGATTACCCAACATTATCGAAAAAACTGAAATTAGACTAACTTGAGGATTGGGAGCATGCAAAATTCTTTTTATCCATCTCCCATGGAAACTAAGCTTCCAGTGTAAAGTACAGCAATTGTTTGTATTGCTAAACATTGAATCTTTATCTCAGAATCAACTGGAAGAGGAATTTGTAGGCTTCTTGTTTCGTGGTCACAAGGGATTATTGTATCATCTTCATCCTTATTTGTAAAGAGGATCCTATTATTCTTAAAAGTCCCTATTGGTCTCAACCATACTTCTAACCATCCAACAGAAAATTGCATGGTCCAAGTAACAGTCGTGCCATGTCCATTCATTTTCCACAGTTCAAACCATGTTTTATTTTTCATTCACTATCCAATAAATCACAGCCAGCGTTCCATTGTACTCTGTTAAATAGTTATTTCTTTCTTTCCTTCTTTCAACAAGTGGAAAAACCATTTTAGTCAAGTCAATCACGCCAAATTGCTCGTTGCTCATGTCAAAATAAACAATAACTGTCTCTGCCCGCCAATAGTAAGTTCCATTATTGTAGGCTGAACTACCATAAAAATAAATATAGACATAAAGATGGGCTGGCAAAACAAACGTCGAGCTTTCTCCAAGAATTTGAGCTCAAGGTATATACGTGAACATGATAGTCATTGTTTTTTTCTTCACAATCTTTCTTAAGCAATTTGACCACCTTATAATCTCTAGTTTTCCAATCAAAACCAAACCCGAATAAAACACTATCAAGGCATTCAACATCACGAGGAATGGGGGGTTCCGGAATATCTTTGATTTCTTTAGTTGCTAAATTCCATAGGCATAACTCATTAGAAGAGAAGTCATAAAGACAGAGTAGACCATGGCAGGGTCCCATATAACTTCGAAATGACGCTTAGGCTTCGTACGAAGTCTCAAATATGTTGGGGCCTTCAGTTGGTCATTTGTGAACAAGGAGAAGACGTCTTCCTGTGTATCACCATCATAATACCTGATTAGAAGCTGAGCTTTTTTGCAGTCCGCAAGTGCCTTATTGAAATGCTCATAAACAAAACTACAGCCTGCAATGGTGGAAAGCCATGATTTGCAAACACATTTGAATCGTAGCAGAGATTTCACAGGCAACCTTGACAAGATCTCGATGATTACATCTCGTTGAATGTGGCCAAAATTGTCCATTCTCCTGATTTCTCAATACCCTCATGCAGTCCTATCATATCAATAGGATTAAATAGAAATAGGTAATTGAATCAAAATAATTAAGAAATCAGTTTGTTCTTTTCCACCATATATAGGAATTGAAAAGTATTTAAAAGAAGAAATTTAAAGAAAATTAAAAACAGAACAGGTTATCACCAGTAAGCAGATGAGGGAACGGAGCTTGAGAGCATTGAGATCTGGGACACAATAATATCCGATAGAGAAAGAAGACAGTCAGCGGGGTATTTTATTTCATATTCGGTGGCCTAATAATCAAATATTCATCGAAATCAAATAATGTTGACAATTAATGCAGTGGATTTATTGTTCTAATAAAGGGCATATTCTCGTAAAACTTATCTTTTAATTTTGAAATACAATTATGAGTAATACATACGCGAACATATTTTGTAAGGTAAAATGGACATAGTTAAAGACGAAGAATATTCTCTATTGAAATGTCCACTAAACATGCCCGTGTTCGAATTTTGATGAGCGGTTGTGCTAACCTATTTCATTAAATTAATGAATACGGTGCAATATATTGAAATAAATAGTAAAAAAAAGATATATTTATTTTAATTTCTGCTCATTTATTTATATGGTGATCTTATTCTTGATAGAATCATGGGAGAAAGTTGGAATTCAATTTTTATTATCTTATTATGGAAGCTTATTATAGGATGATCATCCCTTTAAAATTTTAAACAGATAATTACTCCAAAATGAACTAAAAAGCTAGTATCCACGACTATTCTGTATTTTTTTTGATACCATTACTATTTCAAAATTCTTTAATTCTCATACTCATTTTTTAGACACATGTTTACACAATAAATTTTTTTGCACGTAAACCCAATTTTTTTTCTACTTTTTAAATGCATATTCTCCAAAAATTCACTATTTAAAATTCCGTTTTCTCAAATATAATGCCGGGGCTATATTTATTTATGTCATCAAAAAAAGTCTTTGAAAATGATTACTACGAGCTTGATGATTACTTAGGATTGTTTGTTGAATATTTTAGGAGAAAATTTGCTATTGGAATAAAGGTAAAACTCAAATCATAATTTCTTCAATCTTCAAATCCAAATTTAGGTACAAATCTTGAGGAATTTATGTGTTTTGATGTGTAGTTTAGCCTTAAAATTGTATCTCTAGCCTCCTTTCATTTGAAAGCAAGATCCATGCTTATAGACCTTAGTTTAGGTCTAAAATAGAGCCCTAAGAGGATAGAAAACTATAACTGCAATCAATTTTTGTGTTTGACAAAATACACGTTATGCTAGAATTCCAACATATAATGTTAATTGTCAATTACTTAATAGATATTTATATGATAAAATATTTACAAAATTAATAAATTTCAGGACTATTATAATTTTTTTGTGTCGTTATCACTTAATGATAACATCGTGTTTGTATAATTGACTTTGATTGATAAATTTATGAAAGTTGCATTTCAATTGGCCCAATGCAATTTAATGTATCAGTTATTGTAATTTGTTAGCTGAACTCCAAGAAGAAAAGGATGAGTTACAGCCTATAGGTTTAGAAAAAAAAAGAGCTAACAGAGTAATATAGGAATAATAAGATATGACATAAAACACAAGTCGTCATTATCTGAATGAATATTGAAAAACTAAGAATTTCAAGAAAAAAATCCCAACATGAACGAAATTCCTTTTGAGGTATGAGCTGATAAAATATCATTTTCAATGATGTTTTGTAAACCAAATTTGTAAAATTTACAATTCTGGGATTAAAAATTGAAAGGGATTCAATAATTCAATTTTCTATTGAAAAGGCCAACAAAATTTTAGAAATAATGAAACTAAAGTATTTTAGTGAGGGAAAAGAATTATGATTGTTTAAGCACGTAATTTCAAATTTCTTTTCAATAGGAAACTAAAGAATTTGAATTTTTCATGGACAAATTATTTTTTTTTTCTATATACTCTAAAGGATATAGTTCCTTAGTATCTCTACCCAACTTAAATTTTAAAAAAGTCCTGTACATTTGCATGGTCTTTCTTGATGAAGTTACATTATTTTCTAATCTTATTTCATACTATCGAATCTATCAAATTGAATTTGTCAATAAGATTTCCACAAAAAAAAAAAAGTAATATCACATCACAAACAAAAAAATCTAAATAGAAATGTGACAATATATTAGAAAAATTCTATTATAAAATTTTAATTAATTATTTTTTTAGAAAGCATGCCATGACTAGAAACCCACCGTATTTTAATTACATGAATTAACTTA